GTATACGGGCAGCGCGGCAGCAGCAACCAGGCAGCCCTATAGCTCGCGCCTCGCGCCAACGTGTCGATGTCGCTGCAGTAGTGGGCATTCCTCTTCACTACATTTCGTCCCCCGTCGGAAAAGGAGCCATTCTGGTGACTCACAGAGAACAGAGTACGAGCAGATCGTAATCAGGTTTCAACCGCTGTACGTGAACGGTTTCATGACCCCGAGAGGTTTGTGGATGGCGTAACGGGTTTGACAATGTAGTTAACAGGTGAAGTCTGCGAGACAACGCGGTAGAGTCCCTGGTATTTTGAAACAGGCTTCGAGGAAAGGCCTGTAGGGACAGCGGGAATCCAAAGCCATATAAGGGTATCCGGAAAAAAAGTTAGGGTACGGCTGGTTATTGTCACGTCGAGATTTTTGTCTTCATTGGTCGATGGTTGTGAATAATTGAGCGAGCTTACGACATTCCTCGGCGTGGAGGGCAGCTTCAGAGGTGGGCGTAGACTTGGAGGAATTGGGGTGGTAGAGAGAATAGTATCTAGTGTGGTGGATGGGTCTCGGCCATATAGCAGGAAAAATGGCGACAAGCCCGTAGTCGCCTGTGGAGCAGTGTTATATGCGTACGTCACGAAAGGCAGAATTAGGTCCCAATTGGAGTGGTCTGAAGCAACATACTTAGATATCATGTGCTCTAAGGTACGGTTGAGTCTTTCCGTCGAGCCATTCGTTTGCGGATGGTAGGCGGTAGTAGTCCGGTGAATGATACGGAATTCAGCAAGGAGTGCGTTGGCGACTTCAGAGAGGTACACACTTTCTGTGCCATTCAGAAGTTCACGCGGTGCGCCGTGACAGAGAATGAAGTTCCGCAGGAGAAAATATGATACGTCACGTGCTGTGGCAGCAGGCAAAGCGGCTGTTTCTGCGTATCGCGTCAAGTAGTCGACAGCGACAACGATCAAGCGGTTTCCGGAAGCCGTGAATGGAAGAGGCCCATGCAGATCGATTCCAACGTGGTCGAAAAGCCTAGCTGGGCAAGGGATTCGCAGGATTGGATCAGAGGCGTGATGAAGGGGAGCTTTGCGTCGTTGGCACTGTGGGCATGACTGAATATACATGCGCACAAAGGTTCACATGCCTCGCCAATAAAACCGGGAGGAAAGCCAAGCGTATATTTTGAAGACGCCCGCATGTGCGCACTAAGGGTCAGCGTGAAAAGCTGAACATATGGCAGCACGAAGATGGCAAGGTATGACCAATAACCACTTTATGCCGTCGAACTTGTAATTCTTGCGATAAAGGAGGCCATCGCAGACCTCAAAGGGAGCAGCTTGACAGCACAACGTTCAAGAAGATGGAGAAGTCGATGGGTCTGGAAGGAATCGCAGAAGAGCACTGATCCAGTCATCCTTACGTTGCTCAGACGCCATGTCACAGTTTGCTGGAAACGCAACCGTTTCGTCCATGGCAGATAGACATGCAGAGCTTTCGGAGGGCACAGGTGAACGTGATAGAGCGTCGCCATCAGTGTGACGTCAGCCCGACCTGTAGACAATACGCATGTCGAACTCTTGCAACCGTAAAGCCCAGTGAGCTAAACAGCCGGAGGGGTCTTTCAACGCTGATAACCAACAAAGCACATGGTGATCGGTAACTACGTCGAAGGGGTGACCATATAGGTATGGTCTAAATTTACCTAGAGCCCAAATAATTGCCAGGCACTCCTTCTCTTGTCATAGATAAAGTAGTTCTTCTCTGCCGACGGGTCCTTCCATTGAGCACGAAGTCGCCCGAGTGACCTGTGCCTCTTCGCCGCAGACGACTAGGCCTGACGTACTGAGCAGCTTCATCGCCGACACGTTGACCGTTTCGCAACGTGCTAAGCTTCTACGACTCCTGGACAAGTTGCGTTCTTCTTTTGACTTCCAGCGTATTTCAATCGGCTGCACGTCAGCTGTGAGTCACCATGCCAACACGGGTACCAATGCGCCACTGCGTCAAAGACCCTATCGCGTGCCCGCAGCTTAGCGCCAAGTTATCGATGACCAAGTAGCTGAAATGCTCATGCGTGGCGTCATACAGCCTTTGAATAGCCCCTGGGCATCTCCAGTCGTTCTCGTTAAGAAGAAGGACGGGTCAATTTGCTCCTGTGTTGACTACCGTCGTCTTAACAAAATAAATCGAAAGGACGTTTACCCCTTATTGAGAATTGACGATGCCCTCGACTGCCTCCAAGGCGCGGAGTTCTCCTTTTCTATTGACTTACGGAGTGAATACTGGCAAGTCCCTCTCGCACCTAAAGATCAGCCTAAGACAGCCTTTGTCACCCGATTGCCTTTACGAATTCTGTGTCATGCCTTTTGGTCTTAGCAGCGCGCTCGCAACATTCGAGCGGATGATGGAGAATATTTTGCATGGACTGAAGTGGGAAACATGCCTGTGCTACTTAGATAACGTGGTTATAATTTCACCAGATTTTCCAACGCATCTTCGCAGGCTAGATAAAGTACTGCAGTGCCTAACTGACGCCGGCCTTCAGCTCAACCTGAAGAAATGCCGCTTCGGCGCATGTCGGCTCACCATCCTCAGCCATGTTGTCTCTAAAGACGGTATTCTTCCTGACACCGCCAAGCTTTGGGAAGTTGCAGAGTTCCCTAAACCTTCGTCTCTGAAGGATCTGCGCAGCTTTCTTGGCCTCTGCTCGTATTTTTGCCGTTTTATTCAGAATTTTGCGATGATCACCACCCCCTTGACTGAACTTCTACGCAGTGACTCAAAAAATTACGCTTGGTCACTCGTCAGTGACGATGCCTTCAAAACGTTGCGCCGCCTGTTACCTCGCCACCTATCTCGCGTCACTTCGAACCGACTGCTCCGACTGAGGTACACACCGATGCCAGCGGTGTTGGACTCGGCGCCGTGCTCGCACAGCGCAAATTGAGGTTCAAGGAGTACGTAGTCGCATACGCAAGCTGCACCCAGCACCTCCACCAAAATATAATGTAAATGCTGCACAAAAAAAAAACGGTAGCAGCGTTGGTGCAGAAGCAGCAAGATCTGGCCGGGTATACGGGCAGCGTCGCAGCAGCAACCAGGCAGCCTTAGCTCGCGCCTCGCGCCAACGTGTCGATGTCGGTGCAGTAGTGGGCATTCCTTTTCACTACAAAATAAATAAAGAAATACATGGACATTGAAGATAGTCTAACACGATTATAAATAATAATTTATAATAAATAACGAAAGTGGAGAATTTAGGTATAAAGTGGCAGAAAACGAGGAACAAAATGACATGGGGTTCAGGGCCTATTTGCACGTTATACGCTCGGTCAGCCTCTTGTCAGCCTAGGTGTAGTCCAAGTTGGGCATCTCTGGCGGGTTGAAGTTTCCGCTGAACTGGTGCTCGCTTCTTTGTGCCTTTGAACCTTGCGACTTCTTTGCAGCCTGGTGGTCTAAGACATCCACATTTGTTGCTACAGTAGAGTCTGCTTCCACGTCAAGTCCCGAAGACGCAGGAGGAAGGTCAAGCCTTGCATTGCTGCCACACCACCTCCCAGGCGTCTTACGTCCATCCCCTCTTGGTCCAGGGCAACTTCAATCAATGCCAGCAGGGATTTGGAGCATTGGTCCCATGGTATTTCGAGGGGTTTGGTGAGCTGCGCAAAGAGCGCGCTGATAAGCGCTGTCACATCCGAGCTGGTGATCTTACTCCAATATAGGATCACCAGGTTGGATGCATGATGCAGCGGTGTTCGAAAGACCTAGACTTCCCAAGTGTTTGGAAAGCGACCTCTTCAAAATGGGAGTGAAACAGATGCATGGAGGGGCAGCTGGGTCAGGTTTTCTTGGAGAACAGGCATTCCCATTGCAACCACACCTGATGAAGGCTTATACAAGAGCAGAGTCGGACGGATCGAGCACGAGAGCATTCAATTACCGACTGTCTAGTGCCAGACAAGTGGTCGAGAATTTGTTTGGGTGACTGAAGGCTTGATTCCAAATTTTTCACAAAAGGCTGGAATGTGACATAGACAATGTGGATGCTGTCATTCGTGCTAGCGGTGTGCTCCACATTATTTGGTAAGAATTCTTAGATCATTGCGATGCAAGTTGGTTGTAGGTTGCCCGTTTTGAAGTTGCAAGCCGCATTCAGCCAGTGTGCATAAGCACTCAGCAGAATGCGTTGGGAGTGCACGTGAGAGATGCCCTTGCACAACACCTCATCACCAGTGCACAGAACTGAGAAGTAATTGCGTGTGAGCCAGCGGACGGGACGAGTGAAGACATGTCAATATGTGCATCATTGCACAGTGTGTTATGTGTGGCTGATGCTAGAGTGCTGTACGTGTCCCCATATTGCAAACTATTGTCTATTTCAATATGTTTTAACCTGTCCTCATCAATGTGTTTACAGGCTACACTTGGTCACAAGTTTTATTGACAATAGAGCGAAGGTAGGTCTGCTGCTCATTCCTGTTGCTCCACAAGTAGTACGCCAGCTTTCGGTTGTGCTTGCTCGCACCATTAACGCATTTCGAAAAACAAGTGTGTGAAAAATGTGAATGGGAGATACATTTCGATTGTTCAGTGTCCTACTTCGAGTATATTTTTCTTGGAGAACTAAACCGAACATTTGCGGCCGTAGGCTGACATAACTCATTAGGGACGCCATGTGTACTTTGAAGCAGCTTGATCCTGAAGAATTTGGCCTCATTTCTTAAAGCTCTTATGAGCATTCCAGCCTTCTCACAGATTCTTAATGTTCTATGCCTGTTTTAGAACACTGTAACTCAAATTTTGAAACTCTCACAAAAAGTCGTTTGGACTCGATAGAGATAAATGTCGCAAGCATGACTGCAAAGACGCTAAATTTAGTGACTTTCTCGCTAAGTTAACAGCACTGATGGCACCAAGTGTTGTAGCTCCTAAAGTTTTATCTATATAACAAATAAGAGACATGAGATAAAATTCATTGCTTTGTTTTCTTAGAATCTATATAACAAATAAGAGACATTAGATAAAATTCATTGCTTTGTTTTCTTCGAAGAAAAGTGTGCATCTATCATTTCAAGCATGCCTTTTGCAAGACATTGGATTATTTTTGTAGTGAAACGAGCTCCTTTTGAGCTGCAAGCTGTCACTGGCCGCCTTGCCCGCACGTTCTTCGGCTTTCTCATAAAGTGCCAGGATGTCGTGCAGCCCTGCGCTTGCTGGGCGCTTTTTACTTTGTCTTTTGCTGCTCCGCTGCTGCTTGTACTGCTAGTACTATAGGTATGCTGCTTGTGCTTGGGTGTCCGCTGTAAAATTCTCATCCGCGCTGGTTTCAGGGTCAGCTATCGCAGTGGTTCCACTCTCCTCAGTGTCAAATACAGCTAAAACCTCACTGTCTGCTGGTGCTTCGTCAACTACTGGCACCTGTGCAAGACAAGAAAAGAAACTATGTAATAACAAAAGTGCACTTGTTTACAGCTCGATAGCAAGAAATGTCTTTGATTGAACATGGACTTTATACAGCAATTGGTAAAACAAATGGATGATCCTAAATGAAATATACAGTAGCCATGTATATGCATGAGCTTGAATATAACGAATATCAGCATCTATTGCTGTTTTGGTGGCTGTAATGTGTTAACCTATTTTGGTGTGATGTGCTATTTTGGTGGCTGTTTTAGGTGTAACCTTAAGAGACAAGAAGAGAGCAGAGTGGATTAGGGAACAAACGGGGGTTAAGGATATCATAGTTGAAATCAAGAAGAGGAAATAGACATGGGTCGGGAATGTAGTGCGTAGACAGGATAACAGCTGGTCATTAAGGGTAACTAACTGGATTCCCAGAGAGGGCAAGTGGGTTAGGGGGAGGCAGAATGTTAGGTGGGCAGATGAGATTAATAAGTTTGCAGGTATAAATTGGCAGCAGCAAGCACAGGACCGGGTTAACCGGTGGAACATGGGAGAGGCCTTTGTCCTGCAGTGGACATAGTCAGGCTGATGATGATGATGATGATGATGATGAATGTGTGAAGTGCTTGATATAAAACTACTAAACAATGACATTTTCAATCACCTGCTTGATCAATTTTGACTGTGAAGCTCTAGCAACATCACGTGCAATATTTTATAGCATACTGAGAACACATGCCAAGTTGTCTCATAGAAACAACCTGTTGCTAGTTGTAGCGTAATGGTGAAAACAGCTGATTACCTCCAAACTTTCTTCGACCATGTCACTGTAGTTGATTGGCCGTGATCCGAGAAAAGAATGCAGCTGCCAATAAAACGGCCATTCCATGCCTTTAGCACCAGTGGTTGTGCCACAACGCCCTATCTTTCTGCAAAGAAAGTTTTCGTGGTCACATGAAAATTTATAGCATGTAGACATGTATACGCAGTAGTTCTGCAGGCCAAACAAAAAGCATTCCAAAGAAACAAACTGCCAGGTGTACAAAAACAACAAGCACAGTGATACAGCAATACCACATTCATTAAACACATTACACACTCTGCTATAATTTGTTCATTTCTACTATCTTTACTGCCTTCTGAAAAAACAACGTGCGAGAAAGTCTTTCACAGCAGAAAAATACACAGCGTTACCTAAAGTTCATCTCACTAGGTGCCCCGGCACGTTATGGTAATCCAAGTGTTTGTTAAGCCTCCGCCAACAGGACATGGACAAAAATGCCACCTTAACGCGCGCTTGGCCTTTTTGTTTTCGTAGGACTCAGAATTTTTAATGCAGCTTGAAAATCGACAAAACCGGCCAGTATTTCCTTAAAAGGAGACGTCGTAGCTGTCATGGAGATAAGTAAATTCTAGCAGAAACGAAGTGCCCCTTTTTGTAAAAGCATAGTTGCGCAGCATGGACAAACTTGCACGCGTGTAACGGCGGGCGCACTTTTAACTTGAGTCAGGGCTGGTTTGAACACCCATTGTACCATTCGTAAAAAAATATTGCTCGAATTTGAGAGTGCACTCTGGCAAAAACGCTCACACCCAATATTTGGCTGCCACGTTGTGAAGGTGGAGGCCTAGTTACACAGGACAGTCTTCCGTGCTAGTGCCTAAACACGTCCGATAAATTGGCAGCAGAGATACAGAAAAATACCAAAAACACCACTCACCGATACTGACTGTTAAAGTCTTCAAGTTTTTGGCGTACTTGTTTGACGCTGTACGGTCTTTCACCTGCCGGCAGGCCAGAGTTCAGAGTGTCCACCAGAAACTTATAGATCCCCAAGTTCCTTGTGTTATACCAGAGAGCAGTTAGATTGTCCTCCCAAATTCGTATTAACGCCTCCATCGTCGCCACACTCTAGTTCACCCACCTTTGGCTAAACACTTGCTTGGGAGCCGAGCTATTGGCGCCCGGCATGAGGGCCGCCATGTTGTCAGTTTACGGCATTAACAGGGTTTGCAAACCTCCATTTTAGAAAAAAGTTGTTAGCGGATTAACTGCGGTTAGGGTTGTCGTGTGACTAGGTGCAACAGCCGTTAGACTTAACGGGCGTCGTCCTTAACTATGGCTATACTGCTCGCGTAACAATGGTATTACACAGGGGAAGCCAGAACTATTGAAGACGTGATGGTGATGAGCGCCTCTGAAGCCGACCACAAAGACCACAATAAGGTCTTTATTGTGTTCGGCGACTCTTCACACATGCTTACAGAAGTGCTTCCTATTAATTTGGGAAATTCATAAGACAGCTGTTCATGGGGATCGGGCGAAATCATCTTAGAGGAAGGTGACGTTGTGCTGACAGCGCTGACCACCACGCTCTTTGTACAGCTCACTGAAGCCCTCGAAATGCCGTGGGACAGATGCTCTGATTCCGTGCTGACAGTGATACAAGTTGCCCTGGACCAGGAAGGCGTTGATGTAAAACAACTGGGAGGTAGCGTGACAGCAATGGAAGACTGAACCTTTCTCCTGCGGCTTCGGTACTTGACGTGGAAGCAGACACTGCAGTCGCAACAATTGTGGGTGTCCTGGACCGAGAGGCTGCAAAGAAGTCGCAAGGTTCAAGGGCACAGAGTCGAGCATCAGTCCACTGGAAGCTTCAACTTGCCAGAGATGCCCAACTTGGACTACACGTAGACTGACAAGACGCAAGGAACCGAACGTAACGTGCAAGTAGGCTCCGAACCCCATGTCATTTTTGTTCCTCGTTTTCTGTCGCTGTATACCTATACCCTCTACTTTCGGTATTCATCATAACTAAATATTCATATTTGCGTTAGACTATCTTCAACGTCCAAGTTTTATTTATTCATTATTTATTTATGGTACCTGTTTTTTGCTTCCTTGTTTTTGTCTGTGTTTGTTTTCTCGTGTATTTACCAAAACAGAACAGCGTATGGACTAAGTAAAACGCCCACCTCTGGCTCTCTAACAGGCTGCCAACGCCTGCTCTTAATTCAAATGTTGAGATATGGTTTATTCATTTTTGCTCGCATAGAAAAACATATAGCATGTAATAAGTGCCCTTTGCTGTTAAGAGTCTGGTCTATACGCACAAAGTATCATAATCTCGTGTGTATTAGCTTTATTTTTACAGGTCAGCTATAGCTCATCTATGGGTCATTCCACGCCAATCGTCCGCACTTTAGCACTCAACCATGCGCGATGTCCTTGAAATAATGAGGATTATCTATTTAAAGAGAAAGCTTTTCGCCAAAGATGCCTTTTTTGAAAAACACTGTTTTCAGCAGCTTCATGCTGATGCGATATTTTTCGAGCTCGAAAGTGTGGCTCGGAAAACAGATTATTAAAAATTTGTTCCTTTTGAAGTAAATTAGCTCAATTTTTCCTGCAGAACGATGATACGCTTAGCGCTTGAAAATATTGCATGAGTATTGACGCTTCCGCGCATTTTTTTTGGGCCTAGATATGAGAAATATGCTCCAAGTTGGGTCTTCTTTGTTATGGAAAGGTCACTCTTAGTGATAAGGTATATATCATGTTAATCTATGGTCATGCTTTTGTACAATGGAGAAAAATTAGTTTTGTCGCAGTGGGAAATAGTTCGATCAGCCGACGACAAATATTGATTATAGTTAGTTTTGTCAATTTTCAGCAGTAAAGTGTACGTTCACGTGGGCTTAACGAAAATGCTCTAAATAATTTATTTGCACCTTACACTCCCCAAAAAGTGAGAGAGTTTCACTAATTTACTTTTGTTTTAAGTAAGCTGTCACTACTAAGCCGTCAACACTAAGTAAGCCGTGAAAACTTGCTTGTAAACGATTCCATGGACGTAAATGTAATGTATCGTACTTGAGAAGATGGCAGAAATAAAAAAAATGTGTTGCTGCACAACTTCTTTTATTGTAGTCACTCTTAGTGGGAGAAAAGCTTGATTCTCTGACCTTGGTCAATCCCAAGAATTTAATGCCAATGATTGAAATGTGAAATGAAATACAGGCCCTTTATAGCAAAATATCACCAGTAAAGTGTTTGTTGCTCTGCTCTCAAGCCAAGCAACGTTTTTTGCAGCAAGAATGAACTACAGATAAATTTGAAGAGTTTCGCTAATGGTCTCTTTTCAGAAGTGTTTAGGATCAAGGAAGGGTTGCGTTTTCAAGCAGGCTGCAAGAATTGTAATAAATAAGAAAAGGAAACGACCAAATGTGAGAAGGTACAGATGCAGAGTGCATCTATTGAAACTCGCCGAAGACAAGGAGAAGAATAATACAAGGGGCACAGAAGAGCGCGCGCGTGCATAAGCAAAACAAAAAAAAGAAGATTCTTGCTCTTCGTTCACATCCAACGTCACCGCTGTGCATTTTTTGCAACGAAGTTGAAACAATGAACATTTATGTTTGTTCTGTCGTCATTACTCTTATCAGAGAAAAAGATATTTAGTAACCCCATTACAAAAGCTAGGAATACAAGTAAATATACCAGTACTTTTATCACTTGGCGGCACTTCATTTGGTTACTGCCACAGAGATATAAGCTCCACTGTGTTTGACTACATCAATGCAACTAAAAGATTACCGTCCTAGTGAACCCTAACCTTTTCAGATCTTTAGTTTATAATTTGTAGGGGTGTCTGTCAGGAACAAGAGATCGTTTGACCGCTTGCTCAGCAAAAATTTTTGTTTATTGGCAGTATTATCTCTAAACTATTTTTTTAGATTGCCTTTGATTTCTTTTTAGTTTCATTTAAGTCTCCTGTCGCCCGGTTCTTGGCCCATCCCCCTCTGTGGGTGAGCGCCATCTATCTGAGGTCATCAGCATCAGCATCGAACGCAGCCCACACTTGTCCCGTCTCGTTTCTGCTTCATGGTGTCGTGACCAGGATAGCGGCTTCTCCTTTTCCCACTGGCCACGGATTACCAGGACGAAGGACAGGCCACAGAGTATGGACGAAGAACCGACGGCAGCGAGACAGGACATCGCCATCTGAGAGAGCGGCACAGACACGGAAGATGACACAGCCACGGATGAAGATTTGCCGCTGAAATCTGCAAGCGACCAGCCGTTTCCTCAATTGTTGAAAATGAACGAAGAAGTAATTTCGAAGAAAATAAAAACGCTGAGGACTCAAATAACCCACCTAGTGAGCGAAGCAGAAAATAAGATTCATGAGAATGAAGATCCTACGGCAATATTGCTGATAGCCAGCCAGAACAGAGACATCACCGACATGTTAAAGAAAGTTGACGAACAGATGGAACAGTTCATAACGCCAGAAACAGTCTGCTGTAACCCATTGAACGACGCGACCCAAGCTCTCAAGTGCGCATGTGCACAATCTTATCCCCTTTCCCTCTCCCCCTTACTTTCCTATATATATTCACGAGTGTGAATAAAACTGGCTGTTCTTTTCTGTTGGCATGGTCCGACTGTCACGTTTACTGCTGGAGCGGCGTGGCCGCCTCCCAACTAACAGTGGCGACGAGAATACCCACCGATACGTGTAAGCCGGGCGCCAGCGGCGAGACCAAGACGAAGACGCCCATCAGCCCGCCCGCAGCCATGGCCCCTCAAGCTTCCGGATTTTGCAGAGGAGACAGATAAGTGGCAAGCGTATCTCGTTAAGATTGACGCCTACTTCGAAGCGAACGAAGTTACGGACGACGCGAAGAAAAGGGCCTTGTTGGTGGCTGCGTTAGGATCGAGGACCGTTGAAATCCTTTGCGGCAGAATCGCACCGCGAAAACCAAGCTCGCTGAGTTACGAAGAAGTTGTTTCAACCTTGAACGAGCACTATGATCCGTCCCCTAACGAGATATCAGAAAGCTTCAAGTTCTTTCACCGAAACCAACAGAAGGGGAGTCCGTGCAGGCGTTTATCGTCGAGATTCGCAAGCTAGCGCATAACTGCAACTTCTCTTCAATGTTGGAGCGAATGCTGAGAGACCGCATCGTTTGTGGAGTGCGCTCGAAAAACCTGCAGAAACAACTATTAGCCAAAAAGGACTTGACGCTGGCAGAAGCGGAAGCACTAGCTCTAGCAGCCGAAAGCGCGGAGTTAGGGTCGCAACAGATGACCGGGCAAGGTGACGCCGTTGGGGTGTTCAACGTGCAGCGTAGCAGGCAACCCGAAATCAGCAGGAGCGAACGGAGCAGCTTATCGCAGCACTGCAGCTGCTGTGGCAAACAGGGACATCAAGCCAGGGAATGCTCATTACGACGGCGCAGGTGCTACAAATGTGGGCGACAAGGTCACTTGGCGCGAGTATGCTCCCGGACAGCCACCACCAACAGAACCTTCGCGATAACAGAGTGTTCAGCGGAAAGTGAAGAGAACGATTGTAACGCACTACAAATATGGTCAGTGAAGGGTAATGGAAGCCTGGTTCCGCCCCTACACAAGCAGGTTACATGGAACGGAGTGCCACTGAATATGATAATCGACACAGGTTCACCTGTCTGCGTAGTGCCTAAAGCGATATACGAAGCCTATCGTCATAAGTGGCCACCGCTTTGTAAAGCTGCATTAACTCTGTCATGCTATCTTGGGAAGATACCAGTGCGGGGCATTGTCAAAATGCAAGCTTCCTACAAGTCTGCAACAGTTGACTGCGATCTCGTTGTGTTAGACTGCGAAGGTCCTAGCCTTTGCGGCCGTGACCTGTTACAGATGCTCGAGACACAAGGGGCACCGCTTCTTCACATCGCGTCACTCTCATCGGACGGGAAGCTGGAGAGTCGGACAGCGGCACCCGTGCTGGAACAGTACGCAGACCTTTTTGCGGAGGGCCTGGGAGCCATCAAGGGACCACCAGCACGGCTTCATATAAAGGACGGAGCAACCCCAAGGTTCTGTAAGGCAAGAAAAATTCCATTTTCTTTGCTAGACAAAGTGTCCGCCGAGCTAGATTGACTCGTGGCCGAAGGCATTATTACGCCAGTTTCCTATTCAGAATGGGCAACCCCGGTGGTGCCAGTGCTGAAACGTGACGGAACAGTCCGCATCTGTGGCGATTTCAAAGTTACTCTAAACCCAGTATGTGAAATGGAAAGTTATCCTCTACCCGTAGTGGACGACATTTTCGCTACGCTTCGTGGAGGGCCGAGTTCGCAAGCACACAGTCGAAGCCGAGTTCG